TTATTTACTAGTAAGTGAATATCTTCAAACTTTCTATTTTTATTTTTAGCATGGAATTGGATACCCTTAAAACGATTATCTTCAATAGTTTTAAGTATTAAATCAGCTAGGAAATTTAAGAGAATTCCTGACTTTGTTTCAAATGGTATAGCAATCATTGCGGAATTTATATGATATTGGGAAATATGACTCTGTAAAGTGTTAGATAGTTTTACAAAAAAATTTGCTGATAGATTCAAATTGGTTCCAGTAGAGACAATAATTAATGATTCATATGGCATACTAGGAGGTAAATTTATTGAAATAGCTGAACATTCAGAAGCAAATAAGTTTGCATCAATGGCTTTCTGAATACTTGATTTCAAAATTCCATCCAAATATTTATCTATAGATTCAAAAATTGGATGATATTCAAAAGAGCCAGAACTAGGCATACATACAACCAGACAATTTTTTTCAGATAATGGTAATTCCTTTGAAATTAATGAAAATTGAATATTAACCTCTGGAAAGGTTGAGAGTGGGATTTTAGAAGGTCGAATACCATCAATATCATGTCCAATAGCTCTTTTCTTAGAATAGGATTCCATTTTTAATATTTAATTGACCAAAATGAAGTTTTATTGTAAACCTTGCTAGTTATCTATAAGACTTTGAGTATATTTTAGTATGAGATCTTACTTAGTGGGCCTTGATCCCCCGCAAGTACTACAATATTATGGGGGTATATTGCAGTATGAGATCCTACTTAGTGGGATTTGATTCCCGCAAGTGCTACAATATTATGGGGGTATATTGCAGTATGAGATCCTACTTAGTGGGATTTGATTCCCGCAAGTGCTACAATATTATGGGGGTATATTGCAGTATGAGATCCTACTTAGTGGGATTTGATTCCCGCAAGTGCTACAATATTATGGGAGCATATTGCAGCTTCTTGGATTATATATAACATTAAACTTCAAATCACTTCTTTATATAAAGAGAACTTCTATTACATTTGATTTTTTTTTGGGAATTCTAATTTTTCCTGATAATGTTAAGTTATTAAATTTACTTGAGATATCTTTAACTAGATAAAAAAAAAAGAGGGGGAGGCTCTAGAATTTTACATTTCTGCTAGGCAAAATGATGTATAGAAATATGCCAGTAGATTTAGTACTAGTTCGTCATGGTCAAAGTGAGGGTAATCTCGCTCAAAGGTTAGCAAGGCAGGGCGAATTACAGCAATGGACAGATGAGTTTAGACGAAGACATAATAGCTTGTATAGATTAACTGATAGAGGTAGAACTCAAGCTAGGATAGCTGGTGAATATATAAGAACAAATATTGGAACTACATTTGACAAGTACTTTACTTCTGAGTATGTTAGGGCTATGGAGACTGCTGCCATGCTAGGACTGCCCAATTCATTATGGAATACAGATATATATTTAAGAGAAAGAGATCGTGGTATTTTGGCAAATAAAACTCACCAGGAAAGAGCTACTTTGCACTCTGATGAAATGATTAGGAAGCAGAGGGATGCAT